GGGAAAAGTAATATCTTTTATTAGATCATACGATATAGTCAGGAAGAAGAGTCAAGCCTTGGGCACACAAAACCTCCTGGAAAACTTGTCTGACTTTTTCAATTACATTGATATTAACTCTACCTGCAAATCCCGCTTTGCTTTGGCTACTTCCAGCCACCACGAACGTCGTGGGTGATCACCTCTCTACATTTGAGGGGGGGTTCACCCCCATCCTCCCATGGTTTGCTGGAGTATTTTTTGCTGCCAGGCCAACAAGGTAAGAATAATTACTTTATTTATCACACGCTGCTTCATCTTTCTTACTTACACCTTTTCACTACTTTCACGCTGGTTTGCCCAAAACCATGCAGCAAAGCTGGGAGCACCGGGAGGCAAAATCCTCACTCATGACTCCTGGCCTTTGCTTTAACCACCTGGAAATATTTTCTCCCTTTTAGGCCGAAAGCTGTGAGAAAATCCCGCTGACAATAGTGAAGGAGAACTGCTTAATATCCCTATATATTAGGGAGTCTAAATCCAGGTCTTACGTGCAGTCTCACAAATAAACCTTTAATTTCACTACTGGGAACATATCACAGCCCTAGTAATTTTTAGACAGAGGAAAGAGATTAGGAGACATTTTTCTCCTCATATAGATGGATTACTTTGCTCTGTTCTTGACCGTCTCAAAACCTTAAGTTCCGAGTTTGCCAAACTCCTTCCAGGAATTATCTAATCTTTAAGTATTTTCAAACCAAGACAAAATAACACACTGGATGAAAATGTTTCTCTTTCAGTCGAACTGAAACTGAAAATGTTCGGTTAATGGTTTTGCCTAAAAAAAAATTATTGGGGAAAACTTCACAAATTGCAAGATGTCACATCGCTCCAAACCCAAAGCACTGAAATAGGAATTTTCCTTCATTTATTCCATAGCTGAAACAATTAAGATTTCACAGAAATGTAAGTATTGTTTCAGTCAAATCAAATGGGTATTTTATGAGAAAAAAAAAAAACCAACCACCAAAACATACGCAATATTTTACCCATGTAATCATCTTTCTCCAGTGGTGATCTGCCAAAGAGCGATGCTAGGCTATGGGCAAAAAGATGCTACAGGCCCGGAGGGCTTCTACAGCAATAGGGCAGAGTCCTGGGAACAAAAAAATTCTTATTTGCTGTGTCCAAAAGCTACAGGAGGATATGTTTTGTGTAATATTTGTTAAAAAAAAAAAGTTGTCGCCTTTACATCTGCTGAGAAAACACTCTTCTTCCCGGTAGTCTCTTTGTGAGCCATGCAAATGGTGCTTTGCAGAGCTAGAGGCAGAGAAGTACAGCCGTAACTATTTTTAGACTGCAAACTCTCATAGATTTTAAAAGGGCTTTTGCATATGGAAAGTAAAAAAACCAGAAATGCGAAGTATTTCAGGAAAAGGATAAAATGATTCATAGACGGTTATAGAGCAGAAGGGAGGGGTTGATGCTTTTATCTTCTGTTGACAGGGTTGCCAGTGGGACCCTCGGCACTGGCGCGGAGGGCACAGTGCATGCTCCCCCCCACCCCGAACCGCGCCGGGTCCCCTGCAAGCGAGCATTGCCAAGCAGCTCCAGCCCAGCTCCCTCAAGGGTGAGAGGGAAAACCACTACATCAAAACCCCCTGCTCTTTCAGAGGTGTGATGGGACAGCGTGGCAGCCTCCACAGTCACTTCTTCCCTGCATTAATCGCCTTGCCTGGCCCGTCGGATGCCCAGCGTGAGACGTCTGAGAGAGCAAGGAGGGAAGTTTGTGTTCCGAGATGACTCTGATGTGATAGATGGTGGCAAACAACACTGAAACCCTCTGCAGAGGGCTTTTTGGCTCCCTCCCAAGGCACGCAATGTCTTGATGTGCAAAAAAACCCCCAAAAGCTCAGAGAACGAGCGTTGTGCCCATTTATATACAAAATTGGGCGTTCCAAGTCACAGAAAAATTTCTGCCGGCTTCTTTGGTAGCAGAAGCTCACTGGAGCTAAGTCAGCACTGGAGACACAAATAATTAGACATTGCCTTTAGTTGATTTTTGATTAACCTTGCTCAGTGGTGACCGTGGAACTGCCCGGGTTACTCAGACCTCTGTCCTACCATGAAGCAAAATCAGAGGGCACCTTCTGTGGCTCTTAATGCTTCCCCACACACCTGGGTCACTTCAGACCCATCTGTATACGTCACCCAGTCAGCAGATGCATTTGATGACGACTTTATGTTTGCTGACGAAGTCACGTCCTTGTACATTTATTTTATGTTTGTCTGCTTCCTTTGATATGACGTTAACATTACTCCTGGGGGTGAAAAAATGACTACGTTTATATCTCTTTTATTGGGACATGAAGGGTAACTGTGATGACCCAGGTAAACACTGGCTGCTTAGCCCAGCATTTATCCTAGCAAAATACAGGCAATCGCAACGGGATTCAACTGACTAAGAACTAAAGAATATGAATATAATTAACGCCAGTCAAAACGGTCTCATGGAAAGTGGATCTTCTCAGTCTAACCTGATTGTCATTCTTTTGATGAGATTATAGGTTCGCTTGAAAACGTTGGGTTGAACAGATGTGATATACCTAGACTCCTGAAGGGCATTTAACTTACTACCACGAGTTATCCGATTGCAAGAGCAGCAATACACAATGTCAGTAGACTATAGCATACTTGGATTAAGAACCTGCTACTGACATCTCAAGTATTTGTCATTGGGGGAATCATCACGAATAGAGGTGTTTCCAGCAGGGCCTGACAGGGGCTGACAGCAGCCTCGATACCGTTTAACATTTCTAATCAGAATCACAAAGTTAATTTAAAAACAGAAAAAAAAAGTTCTGGATGATACAGAAATTGGTGAACCAGCAAACAGTGGGAACATGGGGCAGCCAAAGCGATCTGGATCGCTTAGTACTTGAACACAGCTGAATGCAAGGTATGTGTATCTAGGAAGAAACGCGCACAGAATGAGCAGCTCAGCTGCACGACCGATGGCCACATGACCAGGGCAACCATGGGTGGGAACAAAGAGACTGTTCGCCTTCGCTCAGGCAGACAGGAACATATCGCACGCATTTCCAGTGCCCAAATTTTAAAGAAATGAGCAAAGAGGTGAAAAGAACTGCAAAGGAGGATTCAACTCCTTTGGGGAGTTTTAAACAGCTCTGTTAGCTTAGTTCATCTAAGATGGAAATTGTCAGCTTTCACTCTGTAAGTACCTTCATCTGGAAAAAGCGCCCAGTCATATACAGCACTTCATTTAGTGGAGCAAAGCATGAAAGTCAATGGCTAGAAGCTGATTTCAGCTAGGCAGGGAATAAGGTACACGTTTTCACCAGTGTAATTAACCACCCGAGTCAAGTGCTGGGGTAAGAGGTAGCGCCACTGCTCACCAGCGTCTCCGGCTCAGTAGCGTATGTTTGAAATTACCATGACAAGTCAACTGACGCTTGTAATTTGGGATTGCAAGTCCATCCCATCCTGAACACAGGTCATTAGTCTAGGACTCACAATTCCTACAGATGAGTATCAGCAGATAATTTTCCAGTGGGCAGAGCTACAGAAATTTTGGATGGAGACAAATTCCAGTGTTTGATTACGATGACTACAACCTTAAAAGACAACTAGAACTTAAACCAAACTATTACCCAAACTGTTTTTATCACTGACTGACGGCACTATATGGCAGGGGATTATTTACCTGGAATGCTCTCCAATTTTCTACGAAGTTCCTCGTTTTCTTGTTGCAGTGAAATTACCTCCTGCTCTAGCTCTTGACACCGAGGGCAGTAACCTTCTTCCTCTTCCTCCTCTTCCTCCTCCGGAAGTGTAGAAGATGATGGGTGACCGTGAGATTCAGATGTAGCTGGAGATGTCCATCCACCTAAAGTGTGTACTGGAGAGGTTGAAAGTGGATCCACATCTGCCAAATGGCTAAAATCATTTACTGATGAGGTGTTCTGAGAAGGGAAGCTCCCAGAAAGCAAATAGTTCTGAAGGGAATCGGTAAAAACTCTCAGAAAGGCTGAGGTTTGTTGTTTCTTTTGCATATACTGCATCTCTATGTCTAAAATGTCTGACGTCTGACTATGGACCATTTTCCCAAGCTGACATTGCTCTTGTCTTTCACTATAATTTGGGTTTTCCTGCTTTATACAGGAAATCATGGACTGAGAGTGATTGTTGTCCAGTAGTTTTCCACCACAATTTAAGAGACTTAGAACCCGGCTGCATTGTTGGGCAAAGGCATCCAGAATCATTCGACTCTCTGAAACGAAAGAAAAAGATGAATCACAGAAACCTAATGCAAAAGGTTATGCCAGTCAGTAGCAGCTAGATGAATGTACACAACCGTTTACAGTAGCATGCGTTTTATTTCTGAACACATTAAAATGATGGCTTCTGCTTTTAATACTTTGGCAACACTGTGATTTAAAACAATCCTGACTTTGCTTCTATTTTGAGAGTGCCCTTGTGCCCTTGCTGTTAATCAGAAATGCATTGTGATGATAGTCACTGCTTACTGCCGTCTTCTTTCAGAGGGATTAAGACAGGAAAATGGGGAAGAAAATACAAATTCCATCCAATTTGCTACAAGTAGAAGTTGAATAAGTATTTCTCTGGAAGCCTATTTCAAGCTGCTGGTGGGCACTGCCTATACATTTTTGCAAGACTTTGCACTACACCTTCTTCCTATGCCCTGCTCCTCTCCAGCAAGGCTTCCAAGTGTTGTTTTTTCTCCCTTTCATCTTTACTGCACTTGCTTGACATTGAGCATGGGACACTTCACGTGACCCACCCTCAATTTTATGGAATTTGGTTCTGTCCCTTTTGCTTTAGGTTCCAGGAATGTCCAAGAACAACTCAAGAGTGATAAGCACAAAACCCTCTTCTTACACCACGGAAAGGCATCAGATGTAAACGTGAAGCTCCTCTGGTCAGAGGAGGAATTTTTTCTGTCCTGCTGACCTCCTGAGTTTGTGGGTAGGGCAGTATCACGCAGTGGAGAGCAGTGCAGTGTTCTTCAAGCTGCCCTGGACACACTCAGAAGACTCTATGTGGGGCTGGGCAGCAGTTTCTGGAGGCAGCAGCTTGACTCTGGAAGCAGGGTAAGGATGCCACGCCGCACCTAGACAGCCTTGCCTCTAATGGCAGGAGGTGCCACGTCTCAGGGAGCAATAGCAGCTACAACCTAACCTCCATTGTCCACATTCTGAGTGTCTGTGTTTGTAGAGTCAAGCTGCTCTAACAGTTCTTGGACCCAGGTGGAAAATGACCAAGATACGTGGCTCTGATTTATGGTGTGACCTGTTAGGTTCCCCGATAAAAAGAATGCCTTTTTAAAAATTTTTAGCTTATTCACAGCTGAGTTCCTCTAGGTGCCTAAAAAGATGTAACTAGCATTTTGCATGAGATTTAAAAAAAAAAAAAGTGGTAGATTTAAGCGCTGCCAAGTTTGGAGAGCTCTTCTCAGGCAGGCTTGACTTTTAGAAAGTGACAAAAGCATTTACTTTTGAAAAGGCAACCTGCTACAGATGCATGAGACTAAGCACCCCAGACCTTCATCTATCTTAACTTCATCACTTAGAGACGAAAACATAGCCTCATCACACTGATAATACGTAAAGAACAGAAACGTTCAGAATTCAGTCCTTTAGGAGGTGGCACTCCTCACAGTACCTCTCCCTGATCCAGAAGATACGCCTTCTGGTGGAAAATCTACTTTGTACTGAGGTTAGTACAGCTGGCCTGAAGAATATTTGAAACAACACTCGTGCATTTTTACCACCCTCCAGATCTCTGCAAAGAGGGCAGGGCTGAAGCAGCATACAAACGCTTTCAGCCTTGAACGCAGCCCAAGGAGACCTCCCCCAGCACAAACCCTGAGGATGTGACCTCCTGAGGACTCCGACGTAAGAACAGGGACTTGAGGTGGGCAGAACAAGCACAGGCGCAGTGCTGGGCTACGCGGCTGCCCAGGGCCAAGCCCAGAGAGCCCACCAGAAGGTGAAGGATTGGGGTGGCCCTAAGACCACCTAAAGCATCCTCAGCCTCCTGTGCTGATGAGTGGTACCACACTGTCGTAGATGGGCTCAATGAACTGGGGCAGATTGCTCCAACACGTCTTTGATCCAAAACTTTACGCAACATCCTCTGTCCACATTACAAACGCCAAAAAGGCAGAAATGCACAGGCACTGCTTGCCCCCTTGGCAAGCGATGCTGGTGCTCTGTAGCCTCCTTGCCTGCTCTCCCTCCTTCCCCTTTATTGCATTAGCCTAAGGCCAGCGCTCTTTAACCCTTACGATGCAAGTGCAAAATTACCCAGCACAACTGCTGTAATATAAATCACAGAACCCCAGTGACATTGCAGCTTTCTAGCTGCAACCTACCGATCAACCAGAAGAAAATCAAGAAACTCAAGCATCACTAACAACCCTAAGGTGTGCTTTCTTTGCCTTATTTTTTTACTTCCCACATTTTCCCTTTAAAATTATTACAGGATGGTATTGATTGGAATTTTGCAATCCTGCTACAGAGCAGTTTTTTATTCATCTTAATCCTATAATCCGATTCCAGACCTGAAGTCATATTTACTGTTTGTATTTTAATCATTATGGTCCCTGTTGAAAAAAGTTACTCATTCTTTGTGTATCCTTGCTGCAAGGGGACAAAATATGAATCAAACAACTGAAAAGGGATTAGATTAGTATAAAACACGTTATTCTAGTATTAGGGTTTCTCCTAAAATAGGGCAAAAAGTAACCTGACATTTCAAATACCAGTTCTGAAGAATGCTACACTAATAATAATACACACTAACATCAGTAAAGATAAAATTAATGATTAGTTTTGTTGTACAATTGAATGCATTAGGCACATTCACTGTGATAATGGCTTAAAATATAACTGAAATTTTATACAGAAATGATAGTATTGATTTACTCTTCAGTTCAGTATCAGATCTACTACAAAGACACAATAAGCGCAATTACTGGATTTTTTTCTTAACTTTAACCCATACTCAGAGATATAAAAATGAAAGTCATGACAAGGCAGGGCTATTTTGAAATGCTAGCAGGAAGATTCGCAAATGGTTTTTTGTGGGGGTACCGCTGGGCAGCAGTAGTGAGGGATGCTTTCAGCACCCATTCTGGAAACATCTGGCTTTGTGCTGAAGCGGGTACCACTTCGAAGCGACTTCTACACCAGTAATGGTACACGTACCCACAGCCTGAACAACCCTAAATGAGAATGATAACGACACTGATTTCTTGTGATGAAGAAAAAAAATGAAAACAAATGCTGCCCATTTAGCATATATCGTAGCAATTGGGATTTCAGCTTTTACGGACTGACTGTAATTAGAAATGCAAGCACTGTGCAATGTCTAATCACTAAGAAATGACAAAAAGTTGGTTTTATGTGATTACTACTGAATAATCACTGAATAATCACTGATCTATGATTCTTAATTGATTTAATGTAACGTATGTATTTTCTAGGAAAGGAGGATTCTATTGAAATGACTCCACTGGACTAAACCAGTGTAAACAGTTTATTAAAGTCTTGTTATATTCCTTTTCCTTATTACGATGCTCACCAACCATGTAATTCTAATGTCTCAGACCCCGCAGTCTTTAGTCTTACAGAACTTCTATTGACTTTAACTAGACTTTCGCCTGAAGGCAGACTTGCCAGATCAGGCCCATAAAGTGCTAAAAGAGCAAGATTAAATTGCTAAAATTGTAAGTATTGCTAACTAGATTATTTGAGAGTGCAAGCAACCAGAGGGTAATACTGTATGGCAAATCAGGTACCAGCTCCTGGGTCTAGCATCCATCTTTACATCTCTTTCTCACTGATGCTGAACTATGGGGCTTCTTAGCTATCCAACTGCCAGACTAAAACCAGAGTTTTAGTAAGAGCAAACTTTTGAAACTCAACCTGACGACTTACACTGCTGCATCAGAAAAGATGTCTGGACAGACTGGCAGCTTTTCCTACACCTGAGGACCTTTTCAATACTTAGACCAGACAGCTTTATTAATAAGGCATTGTGTTGGGTCTCAATGGCTGTGGATTCAGGTCATGGCTTTTCCACAGTCTCCTTTGCAACCTTGGGCAGCTGGTTTAAAAAGTCATCTTTGTAACTACTGAGCGGGCCTGAAAACCATACATTCTCCCCTGCAGGGAATCTATTCATTGGTATTTAATTTTCAGCGAGATTCGAAAGTCCAGGTTCCTTAGCAATTTCAATCAACTCGCTCTTCACCTTGCAGTGTTTCACTCCTCTCACCTGATGAATTGTATTTCTTGATTTGTTGGATTATCATTATATTACTGTTACTTTAGATCCTGGGGCAGCAGCTCTGTACCCCAAAAATGGCTTCGCCCGTGCATACAGACTTTGTCATTATGTTTTTATATCTGAACGCTGCTGTAAATGTCTATGCTCGAGTCAGAAAATCAAGAGCATTTGACACCTCCCATGACTAAGAGATGCTTTCCTGGGCATTTTGCATGAAGATCACTGAGACAGTCCAGTGGATGAAGACTACAGGTGTTTGGCCATTTCAGTACTGATTCGACAGATCTGCTTCCAGGTGAGGGTTCCCAGCTTCTCAGTTAAGGCCAAAATTACGATCTTCAACCTTCTCTGTTCACTTAAAAAACTTGTTTCTGTCCAGACGCGACAGGGCTTGATTAACTGGTCATGTTAAACATGCCAGGTTGCTGGCACTGGAAGAACATGTCTAAGACAGCTCTGCCCTTCTTTCTCTGCTTTCCAAGAAAGCCCATCTTAAATTTTAAGGCACACTCTAAGGTCTACATCATGATTTCCTAAGGAAGAGGAGTTTATATGGTGGACTACAATACTGTTTAATGTACATGCTACCAAAGAGAAAGATACACATTGTCTTCATACCAGGAAAATAATCTGAATAGACTAATAGTTAATACTTCATAGGAGAAAACGGGTATCTGCTGGTGCTTTGAATGCATCCATTTGTGTGACTTACTCTGCAGCAGCAATGGCCGCAGTAACCACTACTCACTGGAGGAAAAGAGGCGGGTCACGCCGGAGGGGCA